TCTTTTTTTATATATATTGTATACAATATGTATTATTTATGTACAAAGGGGTATCATTTTACTTATAGTACCATTAATATGATTGCAACTTAGAATAATAGCCAATAGCGAACACTACAGGAACACCGTAGCAAAAGCGTCCATGTAGAATAGCTAATTTAATATCGTGTTTCGCACGACATGAAATGCGACTTTCATATCATAAGAAAATTCAATGTTGAAGACTAAGACTTGATCATATACAGTTGAACAGTATAATACAATGTCATCAATAAAGAACGAATCTTCCGGTTCAGAGAATACTGGCCCTTCTGTATTTTTAAGTGAAATTATTGGGAGCTCTGTCACTGTTAGATTGCACAATGGTGTTGAATACTTGGGAAACTTGCAAAGTATAGACGGATATATGAATATTGTATTAGATGAAACCAAGGAATTTGTTGGAGGAGAACAAGCCAGAAATTATGGTGATGTATTCATAAGAGGTAATAATGGTAAGTGCTTTTCTTTTCGTTTTGTTGTACTTTATTGTGGTTTCAGCCTTGATATATAAAGAATATGTGTCGAATTAGGTAACCAAAAAAACTACTGAAATAATCTTTGCATAAGATTCATACTAACTAAGTTCTAGTGTTATATATTAGTGAAGCCTAGAGTTATGAGTGTATTTGTATAGTATAATAATAGTAATATTTCCAGTGAATCTAATGTAGGTATCAAATAAACACGTGATCGTATACTTTACTAACAGCACAAGTGACCAAAACGTTTTCGCGAAATTATTGTGTAATGATTTAACGAATAGGAATCCGTCTTACACTTGGCCGAATACCAAACCGAACTGAAAAAACAGATTCAATCATTAACTACATCTTTACGTTAATTTAATTAAATCAATTATCCATAATGTCATTCATTGCTAGAAGACAATTATCTACATTAATCCCACCAAAGATTGCTTCTGCCAAGGTATGTAAAATTTTTGAACTACTTGCTGATAACTGAGAATTTTTAAACAAAGGAAGGGCATTGAATTTGAAGTAATTACGGAGATCATGGATCGAATAAATCATGGTACTGAATGCTTTAGATACCTAGATGGTATGGGTCCGTCTTATTTGACCTGAATGGAGTGATTAGAAGCATATTGAAAGTAAATGAAGGAAATTCTTGGACCGAAACGAATATTTGTATTGAATTCTTGTGTGAGAGAAGATGACTATTGTATGAATGATAGGACACTAGAGTTACCTTAATAGTATATTTCCGTCAAAATAAATCAAAATGCTAGAGATAATTGAACAGAAGTAAAATCATTTTCGTGGACAAAAACAACAGAAGGGCACAAGGATGCCGACGTAACTTCATTTCAGTCAATCCTTCCGTAGGACATATCAGTAACTACCAATAGCATCCGTACAACATACTAACTAAATTTTAGAACATTGGTTCAAACCCAAATGCTAAGAGAATGACCGATGTCGTTTCTTTCTACAAGAAATTACCAAGTGGTCCAGCTCCAGCTTTCAAGAAGCCAACTTCTCCTCTCGGTAAGTACAAGGCTGCTTACTTTGAAGGTGAAAATGCCTCCGGTAAGCCATTAATTCACTTGGCTCTTCTTGTTGGTATCTTAGGTTACACTTGGGAATACCAATCTCACTTAAAACACCACAAAGGTCACTAATCAATAGACTTTAGATACTTATGATTACTTTGACTATATGTGTTTGTTGCCTATGGTTTGGGTCAATTTGATAACTTACAAATTTCATATTTAATGTGGCCACAATGCTGCTTACATATACATATTTTCTAAATTTCTAAATAAAAATGATATTTTGCTACTTATGCTACTTATTACTGTAGTTTTACATCTATAGACCATAGAATGACACGTTTAAACACCTTATCATCGCCAGTCTTGAGCTGATGAATTTATAAAATTCTAAGCAACGTAAGGGGTGATAATTTATCAACGTGCGCACGACTCTTTGATTTTATCAATCTACCTCATTAAAACGTAATGAACGACCAGCCATATCCATAATTTCACTTTAGCCGCCCATTAAATTACTAAGATTAAGTGATTAACGCTATAATCATACTAATTAATCAATTTATAAGTACTAGTAATCTTTTTTGATTAATTGAGATACTCATATTCGAAATAACCAGAAATTTGTTCACTAGAAAATTAACAAATGGATCCCCTGGTTAATTACGAGTATCCGGTTCCACCACAACAATATCAACAAAAAAGATATCAGAATCCCAATCAGGTCCCTGAAGTTTCAAATAAAGAACAAATAGTACCCCAATCAGCGCTTCCAGCCACACCAAGAATGTTACGAGGTGTGAGTGGTAATCAGAAGAATTCTGGTAGTGATGGCTACATTCAGGAAGATCAACCTGTGAACGAAGGTGATCATTCTATGACTCCGCAACAGACTGACAAGTATCAGCAGTATGTTTCGTCAGCCAATTACCAAATGGACGCGTCTCATTCCAGGAATTCTAGCTTAAACCAATCTCAGCATTCTAAACGTGGTGCATCTGCGAGCCATTCGAGAACACCTAGTGTCAATAGACAACCCCAGCCCCCAGTAACGCCACCAACTTGGAATCAGCAGTTTCCAAATCAACATCAACCAGTTGCATCACCTCAAAGGAAACAAGAATTATTACCTTCGGCTGCTATTTCATCTCCTTCCTCAAAGCCATCGTCGGGAAATGCTACTTCAGCAACCAAAACACGTCCAGTTGCTCAACAGCATCCTGGTCAGAATAATGAACATGGTCATCATCATCATGCGCATCATCATAATCAGCAACCGCAACAGCAGCAACAACAGCAGCAACAGCAGCAACAACAATTTCATAGAAAGTCTATTGGTGATTGGGATTTCATAAAAACCATCGGTGCTGGTTCGATGGGTAAAGTTAAACTAGCTCAGCATAATTCTACAGGTGAGATTTGCGCAGTAAAAATTGTTCCAAGAGCTGCGAAGTTGTTTCAAAGAGCCCATGCTAATGACCCACCTATCCTTAATGCTCAAGCTGCAGCACAAAGACAAAAAGAATTTGAGAAAGAAGTCACCAGAGATAAACGTACCATACGTGAAGGTGCACTTGGAAGATTATTATTCCATCCGTTTATATGTAGATTATACGAAATGGTGCCAATGACAAATCATTATTATATGTTATTTGAATATGTTGAAGGAGGTCAAATGCTAGATTATATCGTTTCACATGGTTCTTTAAAAGAGAAAAATGCAAGAAAGTTTGCCCGTGGCATAGCACTGGCTTTGGATTACTGTCATAGTAATAACGTTGTTCATAGAGATTTAAAAATTGAGAATATTATGATTAATTCAAAAGGTGATATCAAGATTATTGATTTTGGCTTATCGAATTTATATTCACCAAAGTCTTTGTTGAAGACTTATTGTGGGTCATTATACTTTGCAGCGCCTGAATTATTAAGTGCTAAACCTTATACTGGACCAGAAGTTGACGTATGGTCCTTTGGGGTAGTCATGTATGTTTTGGTATGTGGAAAGGTTCCTTTTGATGATCAATCTGTTTCAGTTTTACACGAGAAGATCAAAAGGGGTAATGTTGAATACCCGAGCTTTTTATCCAAAGAGTGTGTTTCTTTGTTAAGTCGAATGCTAGTGGTCGATCCAACTAAAAGAGCGACTTTATATGAAGTTATACAACATCCTTGGATGAATAGGGGATACGAGACGCATCAATCTTGCTACCTCCCTAAGAGATTACCTTTGGAATTACCATTGGACCCTGAAATAATTAAAAGCATTGCATCGTTTGACATAGGTACCGTACAATCTGTTACAGAAGAATTGACAAGTATACTTACGAGCGTTGAATACCAGATGAGTTGCGAAAACTGGTATAAAATTACCGAAAAAGGTAGGCAGTATGCATCTGCGCCAAATGCTCATATTTTACCAGACCCAACTGGTGGTTTCCATCCATTAATCTCAATTTATTATTTAGTGCATGAAATGAAGATGCGTAAGAAGGCCAAGGAACAGTCTGCGAAAACTCAATCGGAACAGGTTAATTCTAAACAACCCAGCCAACAGTCTAACCGCGTATCACCGCAGGATGAAGCTATATATGATTCTGAGCAACAGAAACAGGAACAACAAATACCTAGATTATCATTTCCTGAGCAAGCGCATACTTCTACTTCGCCAGCCACGTTTCATAAAGATTCGCCTACTCCATCAAATGAACAAAAAGAGGAAACTATTCCAGAACAACAGCCCCATAGTCCAAGGGAATCTGTGGGTAATACAGAAACATTGGATCCAAACGGCGGAAAGCCTGGTGGATTTAATTCATTGTTCAGACGATTATCATCGAAGAAGTATAAAAATGCTCCATCGTCACCCAGCAGAAATCAAACATCCCCAGATGCTTCTGACTATAATATGGCTCCACCTCCAATACCTAAAGTTTCTATTGTTCCTGATTCTCAAGAGCAAATATCGTCACCCTCTTCGAATAAATCCCAAAAGAATGATCCTTTGGTTCGTCGTGGAGTAAGTATGAAGGTAACCGCAAAAGAAAAGTCTTCTTCTTCTAAAGTTGACTTGCATTCTTCAACCTCTAACACTTCGAAGCCTCCACCCGAAGTATCAAAGCAACCTGCAAAGGTTACCCATAATCGTTCATCTTCAACATCTACGAATAATGCGGTTAATAAGTACCGTGGTTACGTTCCAGAACAATATTTACCACCATTGCCTAATATTAATCCTAATACGAATACGTTAATGCCACCTGCGTCTGGGTCTGATAGTCCTTCGAAGGTTGCTCCGGGCGCTGAAGGAAGAAAATTGCATCCAACTGCAAGAGCTAAATCAGTTGGTGGTCATGTTAGAAAGGAATCATATGGCCGCAATAGCCGCGCAACAAAACAAACGCATCCACCGTTACCCAATGCATTGGCTTCACAAAACAGTGATGAAGTTATTGGTGAAGGTTCAACACGCGATGACGGTTTCTTTGATGATGTAACCTTGGATGAAGTTGATTACCAGGAGATTCCTCAGTTAACTGAAGAACAAATTATTGATCAGTTCAATCATGCTAGGCAGAACAGTATGCCTTCAATTGAGTATCCAAAGACCTTATTTTTAAAAGGGTTTTTCAGTGTCCAAACTACTTCTACAAAACCTTTACCTGTTATTAGATATAACATAATTAATGTTTTGAGCAAGTTGGGAGTAAAGTTTCAAGAAGTAAAAGGTGGTTTTGTTTGTGCACATGCGCCTTCATTGCAAATCAAGCCTGTACAGCCTGATGATGTGTCAACCAATACAAGTACTATGATCGATTCTCAACAAGAGGATAAGAAGTCTGAAGAGACAACCGAAGAACAAAGGTTATACGGTGATGCATTTAAATCTACTTCGTCTTCTATAGAGAAAAATGCTGACATTCCACCAAGAATCAAGACACCTGAACAAAGTACAGCTGAATCACAAATCAAAAGTCCAACTAGGCAAGCGTCGTTACATCTTAATACGCAAAATCTTTCACCTCAGTCAGCTAATAGCGGTAAAACTCACAGGGCATCGAATTCCGTTGGTGGACATAGACGTAAATTTTCAATCGGAAATTCACTTTTAGGTTCATATCGTAAAAAGAATGGATCTCAGGTAATGATGCCTCCAAATACTCCGGCTACAGCGAAACTCAACAAGCTGTTGTATGGAATGGAAGGTGACGAATTTGAAGACGACGACGAAGACGACGACGAAGACGAAACTTCTAAACAATTCACTGAAGATGATTCCGTTGATTCATTGAATGGCTTAATGATTGGCGGTGGTAGTGATATGTTAATTTCTTCTACATTAGAGCATAAAGCAAAGCATCAACATTCCCCAAGTTCAGGAAATTCTCATCACGCAAAAAGATCACCTTTGAAGTTTGAAATACATATTGTTAAGGTTCCTTTAGTTGGCTTATACGGAGTTCAATTCAAAAAGCTTTTGGGTAATACTTGGAATTACAAAACTTTGGCAGGTCAAATTTTAAACGAATTGAATTTATGATATGTATTTTTAGTTTTTGATATTGATACAATGAGAAGACTAATTTTATTTTTGTATTTACTACTATATGATATTGAGTAATACTGGATTAAACACACATTTTACATTAATTTATTTTAATACACATTTTTATACTCTCATTTGATATAGTGAATTTTATTTACGTGCGTTTAATAAAACAAATTTGATATATTGTTTGTAAAATATTTGAACTCAGTTAAAAATGAATAGAAGTAATAACAATATTCATTTTCGGACATTTTTAAACAATTCAAAAGTCATTGATTCAAATAAACTGTTAATCTATAGAAGGGGGATTGGTCAACAATTGAACGATCAAGTATTTGTATCATGGTTTGCTCCATGATTTTGCATTTGATTAAAGTTTTGGTTTGGATATGCATTAGGCATGAATTTATTCTCTAGTTCAGGAGATTGATTGGGATTGGTCATCAGCGACTCTATGACTTGGTTTGGTTCATTTAAACGCTTCACTTCGCCAACGTTGGGATTAAAATCTTGTTGATTCGCAATCGTACCTAGGTTCTGGACAATTTGTGTTGGTACGCTACCATAGGTTTGAGTTGCCACGTTACCATAACTCTGGTTTGGCTCACTGTCATAATTTTGATGTGGATGGCGTGCATTATTATAATTTTGTATTGGTTGTGTAGAAATGGAATGAAAGTTTTGACTTGGAATTTCATTGAAACCATGTTGAACAGGCAATGAAGTGTCAGAAGTATGTGGCTCATCCACGGGCTCTTGAAAAAATGAAGGTTGTTGATTATTGTTTTGCGTATTTTCTAATGCATGCTGTGATCTATTTGAAACACTGGGAATATTTGACACAGTTGCACCGTTGTATTGTTCTAGATTATATTTACCCACAGAATTTTGGAGTTCAGCATTATCACTACGAACACTTATGACTGGTGCTGGTATATTCTTATTTATATCATTATTTATCTCCTCTGTTTTATTGACACCTTCTTCTTGAGTTGTATTATCTTCTGATTTTATAATGGTCAGAAATTCCATTTCAGGGCTCGCTGTTGTTTTATTCGACTCGCTTGTAAGCTTTCTCAACTTTAACCTTTCTTCTCTAGACAAAGAATTAGTACTTGGGGTAATAGAATTACTTAAATTGAATCCCTGATCTTTCATCATTCTTCTTCTTTCCAATCTTTTTTCTCCAGCAACCCGTAATTCTTCTTCTTCTTGAAGCTTTAATAACCTAAGCTCCTCTTGTCTTTGTTTTTCCTTGGCCTCTAATCTTGAAGACCTTTTCCTAGTTGCCAATAAGTTTGCTAACTGAAGCTCCTTCCTTCTATTGGTTAATATCTTTCTTTTCTTAATCTCAGCATTAAAAATAGATTCGAATATGATATCGTCTGCTAAGTTAGAATACAAAATCTTATATTTCTTTTGTTTTCTTTTGCCATAAATATCAAGCAAGTAAGCATTGAATTCATAAATATTTTTACTGATTATTTCAAAGGAGGTAGATTCAATGTCAAATTGTTCTGGTTCGAAAAACTCTTCAGGTATTTCCGGAGCTAATTTACGCTTTTTTGGAATTGAAAGTTCTGGAAAGTTGATAATTCGTTTGTACAATCTTGTATTATCGAAAAGTAGAATATAGTCCTCAGAAGTTCCTTTTTTCACTTCTTCAGAATAGACTGCCGTAACTCTTGTTAAATCTGAAGACATGTTATTTTTGTCCAAGTAATTTCTAAAATTCTGGTATTGAGTAATGTAGGAGATCAAAGTATATAAAACTTCAAATTTGTCTTCAATCAATAAGTTATCGAATTTTGGTTCAGGCGTCTCGTCTTCTTCATCTTCGTTACCAGCCAATGGTGTTTCTAATCCAAACCAGAGTCGAAATATTTTTTCAAAATTATTCATTGATGAACACTTGGAATTTTGTAATGTCGATATTAACGCCAATTTCAACTTATTGATAAATAATATTGATTCATCAATTGGGGGTGGATAGACCATGTTAAGTAATTCTATTTCGAAAAGATCAACATCAAAATATTCAGATTGTAACTTTATATAACCTCTGCATTGATATAACCAATTAACCACGTACAAATATTTATAACTGGATCTTACTTTGGTAAGTACTTCTTCATTTGTGTGTCTATCGATTGGCATATAAATAGGTTGAAGCTTGAGTAACGCGTTTATTTGTTCATCGTTCCCGTATGAAAGGGCATTTGCTGGATGATCTGGCACGCCAACATTAGGTGTATTTGATTTGCTCTTAGAAACCATCTTGATTACAATATCCTAACAACTACTGACTGCTATTGAATATTTTGGTGCATTTCTTCAACGAAAAAGTGTTGGTTCCTGTATATAATACTCTTACTTGTACAATTAATACTTCCAATGAATCAAGTAATAGCATAGAGAATATTTTATCTCATTAGTTGATGTAGAAGGAACTAATCTTGATAGTATATTGCCGGTGGGTGCCGGTAGGCCCTTCGTACTACTTATTGTGAAACTTAGAAGTACATAATTTTACAGAATTCTAGTGTAGATATTCGTTAATCATAATATTACTTCTAACCTTTTCTCCTTTACTAATACACTATATATATATATGACCAAACCTGCCTTCAGCCAATTACCAGAATTGAATTGTAGTTTCCTTACCAAAATAATAAATAA